ATATATATATATATATATATATATATATATATATATATATATATATATATATATATATATATATTCAGAATTACACCCAGTTTTTTAGTTAAATTACGACAAACGTAACATTTACATCTGTAATTGTGCAATTCAATCTCTTATCAAACTCTGAATTGAAATCTGAGTATCCCATTTGAGACAAACTTCAAATAATGACTATAAATACGGACTATTAATACGAACTAAAAGAGTTTTCATAAAAATTAACAAATTTCCCGTTTATATCTCCCGTTTCTTTTATATCCCGCGAAACTTGATCAGTCCATATATGACTCGCTAACTTCATCTCTGATATCTGATTATCTTTCATGAGATAATTTCTAGTCAAATGTTTAAATGAGTCGGAGAAACGGTTCTCCTTTCATCCGATCAAGCAAAATATTCGACCAAGTTACGTTTCATTGGGCAAAAATCCCTAACGCTTAATTGGAAAGCCCCAAAATACGGATCAAAATGATATATCCGTTGATTAAAATTCGGATTTCTTTCTCTCTCTCTCTTCTTCTCTCCCCCCTCTCTCTCACACACACACACACAAGGGGCCACTCTCTTTTGTCCGAAGCCAAATAAATGAATTTTAGTACTAATTAATGAAGAACGTTTCAATAAGTACTGAGAGTGAAGATTACGTCTGTGAAATCATCAGAATTCCAAAAATTTGGGATTTTATTCATTGCCCCCTATTAAGTCCAGTGTTTTTGCTTGGTCACTTTGAAGATCTTTACGAGAGCATTCTAGAAACACCAAAATTATAATTACAATTTATTGCAATTTATTGCAAAATTATAGCAATTCACGTGTAATTCGTCCAGAAAGCGTTGATTGAACCACAGACGTTGATCGCAATGTGCACGCAGAATTTGGAAACTCGAATGCAATCTGCGAAATGACCAGTGGAAAGGTATTCAAAAGCAAAATAGTGCTCTATCGATGTGACAAATGGCCCAGCTCGACATTTTAATTATCATTTTGGTACTTCTAGAATGATGACCCTCTGTAAAGACCTTCAAAATGATTAAGCAAAGATACTAAAAGAAGACGAAAGAAACGAAGACATAATATGAAGCAATAGACAAAATCTCAAATTTCTAAAACCGTGATGAGTTTGCAGATCTTTCATTCTTTTTTGTCCGAAGTCAAATAAATTCTGGTACTCGATTGGTATCCAAATTTATTTATTTGGCTTTAGACAAAAGAGAACGGTCCCTTGCCACCACAGGCGGTGCAACTAACCGATGTAAGTGTAATGCGACTCGGCCCTGTCCGCGCTGCGGGTTCTTCGCGAGTGATTAAGCCGCTTCTCGTGTTTGCTGCTCTTGGTCGTAATCCTCCTGGGCTCCACCACCGAACTGCTGCTCCCGCTTTCGCTCAACGTGCGGATCTTCGGCGCTCGCGCCTCATCCTGTTGTTTCCGCGCGCCCTTGCCGTCCGAACTCTTATTGCCCTTCGATTTCGGCACGAAGATGGTCAGTTTACGCGGGACCATCGAGCTGTCTCGCGACTTCAAGTCGACGACCACGCCGCAGGCACACACTGGTCCGTTCTCGTTAGGCATTCTGGAAAAGGAACGCAGCACGCGTGTGCTCTCAGAAAATTTGTGAGGATTCGTCGTCGACAGATTGATGAGCGTGTGTTACGTGACGGCATCAGGATCGTGAACGTAATGTTAATAATAAAAGATGAAAACAGTACGGCTCAGGGTTGGACGGTATATTATTTATTCCTGGACCTCTTCTATAACAGATGTCGCTCTCAAGAGTTAGAAAAGAGCTTGACTGTTAGACTGACGAGCGAGAATTGATCAGCTGAACGTAGGGGTTTCTTACGTTGCATCGGAATGACTAAGAACGAAGTTTCTTGTTAACATATCTTAAAGGTTTTATAGCGTTTATTCACACTGAGAGAAATTATCCGATAAAAAATTAACAAACGGATATTTCCGATCAAAATAGCGATAAATTTTTATATCCGATTAAATTTAAGCAGATACTTCCGAAAAAATCCGAACAGTCGGGTTAAAAGCCGAAATAACAAAATATTATAAGAAATAAATTAAAATATAACTTAAGCAAAGAAAAAGAGAGTTGGGCGAAGAATAAGAAAGTTGATTGATATTGGGTGTAAATATCATCCAAAAACAAAAGAACAAATAAAGTATGACAAAGATTTGAAATTATATAACAAAGAGATATAACTTTCAGCAAGGAATAAAAGGATAGTCTGAAAGAGATTCAAGGCTTTTTGTCTTTAGTCTCTGGTAGTAGCAGATCAGTAATTTATATAAGTCTTGCACAACGTCTAAAACTTCGGTCAAGTTTCATTCCGGTTTGGACTTTTAGCTAAGTTAGATTCGGTAAGCAGCGTTCAGTCAAAGTCAGGTTACTTTTAGCATTAGGTTCAGAAGAAGTATTTAGTTAATTTGCAACTTCCCTGTACGCTTTATTAAAATTGTATATATATACAGTCATTTATTATTACTTCTGATGTCAAATAATTCGAGATAACACTCACTATCCTAAATATATTAATATATTCTCAAGATATAGACTATGGCTGAATAGTAAAAAATTTAAGGAGGAAAAAGTTCTGTGAAAATAAATTGGAATTCTTTTTATATATTGACTCTTACAATATTGCGCGAGAGGACAAAGCGAGGTAAACGTCGCTCTTCCAACGTTAATTCCGATGGAGAGAGCAACAAAAAGAAGAATCTACGAGTGATTGTTACTTTCTTTCGTGCATGTCGAAGGGCGCGATTTCAATGCGTACGACAATAAATCACTACCCGTCTGTGTGTTTACCGGTTTCCCCCTTCTCGAATCGCGCACCGTAGCCGACGCTTTAACGCCGCCATTCACACAGCGCGGCAGGCATAAATAACATAAATCACCAGGACTCAGTCACACCGAGATTCGCGCCGGTCTCTCGCAATCTGTTACAGCCGACGCGTCCTGCGCCCCGCCAAACAACGTCATCGAACTCGTGCGCCGCGCGCTATTATTAACGAGTCCATAATGGCCCTTAATTGGAATCACTTCGTAACGTTTATTCGCAATAACGGCCCGCTCGTCACGCTTCTCGCGTGACAAACGCGATTACGCGAGCTCGGCACGTATTTGATCGGGAAAAAGTAGCCGGGCCTAAAATTAACGATCCTCTCTCTCTCTCTCTCTCTGTCTCTTTCTCTCTCTCTCT